GAATGTAATAACGCAATGCTTTTCTACTTAAATAAATTCATGGGAAGCAAAATTTTGACTAAATGTGTTAAGTAAACCTTGAGCAAAACCTTCATTTAATTTTTTAATTTTTTTTTTAATTTTTGGCTTTCAAAGATTATAATATAATTTTTTATGACTTTAACTAGACCTAACCTAAGCTAAAGTCAACCAAAACTTAAATCAAGTCAACATTGCATTGACTTTTAATATGAATTAATAAAAAAAAAAAAGATTTTTTTTGATATAAACATAACTAGTAACTCAAATTTCTTTATTTATTTTGAGTAGCAGAACGGTGACGTTTGAAATGTAGGAAAGTAGTGGGTAAAGGGTGAAGAATAACGTCTTTTAAAATATACTTAAGGTTTTAATTTGGGAAAGCAAGTTCATTCTTAAACACAAAACACAAAATAAACTCACAAGATCCATGTTTTTTCCCCTTAAATTAGAATAAAAAACCTCAATAATAATAATAAAAAAAAAGAGCATGATTCAACCCTAAAATAAATTAAATTGAAATGAGTAATACACATATAAAACTGATAAAATAGAAAATAAAGCTAATTGTGACATCTTGAGTAGTGAAAGCTTCAATAATTTCGGTCTTTAAAAGTTTTAAGATTGAATAGTATGACGAAGAGAAGGAGAGAATGAGAAAGTAAAGAATTTTGGGGATAAAATCATAAAAAGCAGGTGGAGTCGGAAGAAGAGTGGAGAGAGTTTTAAACTTTTAATATGATATGGGCTTACCCTCAAAGGGGTTGGATCCGCCCCTGATTAAACCACACATCTGACGTGGCAAGAGAGAGCAATTCTAGAGATAAAAAATAAACCAATTTTAGAGCTAAAAAGAAAAAAAAAGAAAAAAGTGCCCTACGTGTCACTCAAATATGTATGCTTTTACCTTTGGATTTTGAATACCAATTCAACAATTAATATCTCTCTACAACATCACCAATAAAATTCAACCACACGAAATCCACAAATTGACAAATGAAACAATTCTATGAGTTCCAAAACGTGCTACATACCGAACAACCCGCATGGGTATTCAGCTTTATATATATATAATTTGGAAATTTTAAAGTTCACTGAAAAATAACAATGGGTCTTGAAAGGATATTCAGGATAGATGAGTTTCAAGAGAAGAAAGTTGAGAGTTGAAACCATTGGGATCCAATTATCCGGACAACTGAGGTTAATTTTATAATTTTATTTTTTAAATCAGTGTTTGTATATTCTTAAGGGAAGGGTGGGCAAGTGAATGAAAAAAAAAAAGAAAAAAGAAGAAGAAAGCATTGGCATATCCTGTTTGGGGTGCCTTTCTTTCCATGTGAGTTTACTTAATTAATACTTGTATTTTCAAAATTATTAAATTTTGTTTTCATCATAACATTAATTTAATTGGATTCCCATACCATAGCTTCCACCTTGTTTCTTCGCTTAATTGCTTCATTCACCCTTGAACACCTCAAAAATTATAAACCTTACAAATAAATAATATAATGATCACACTACAAATCCACACCCTAATTTGGGACGCCGGAGTCTTATATATTATTATTAATTTAATATAGCATAATAAAAATGTAAAGATAAATTAATACACAGGTATACAACCATAGAAACTCTTGTCCACAACAATAAATAACATCTGGAAACTTTAAAATATAAAAAGAATCTGCCCAACACATATGATGTCACCATTACTTAAGTTTGTGGCAATCGTCAAAGATATTTGCACCACAGTCCAGTCCATTTTAATAGGATTGCCAAATCTTGACATATTTTCAATTTCATATTCTACTGCCCAGCCCATCAGATCTTTAACGACCCAACAAAGAGCGAGCCCGATCTCCGAAAGTTGGGCTTGGACAGTGGCTACTAGGATCGCTTTTTATTGGGTCCGTTTGGATGACTGGACTGCATTTCATCAGTAATGATCTAAGGATAAGTGATGTAAAAGGTGACCTAACTTGTACAGCTAATTAATTTATTTTATGTAATGCCCCTGCCCCTAAGGGAAATAATCTTTGGGTTTAGAATGTTAATTAAGGTTAATGACAACCGTGGTCCTCTAACTCCAATCAAATCATTCAAATGGCCTAAAATAAATAACAACGACAATAATAATAAATTTAATATAAATGCCATAAATTAACCACAATGTGGTCCAAAATCTAAAGTAATTTATAGCTGAAATTGTGGCCTATGTGGACATTATCACATGCTTTGCCTTTGGACCATGCCTCGCCACTTGTAAATAGTACTGTCCTAATTACTGGGAGAATATTTAATTTCTTATAATATTCAAATATTATTCACCTGTTTCTTCTTTTTTATTTATCTTATTTTTGGCAAATAATCAAACACACGTACGCTTGGTTCGTACAAAATCTCTTTGAGAAGAAAATTTATCAAGGAGTAATTAAGTTTGAGTTACATTTAAAAGTATTTATACATTATAACGGAATCCATTAATTTTACAGCTAAATGTATTAATTAATCCAAAAAAAAAAAAAAAATCTTAGTTGCATTAATTTGAGAAAAAAATGATTAGAAATGTTTGGTAAGATAGCGGTATAAGATGTTGACATGGGTGGATCCCAATGGCTAAATTTATGATTAACCAACTACTGTTCTGACTAAAATCTCTCATATTTAGTCTTTTCAATTGATCCCAAAGTCTTCTCCAATTCTAATGCACGCTGAAATTAATGCATTAAGTAATTAAACCCCATTATTACCAATAACTTTTAATTAATCGGATAATTAATTATAAAGGTAAAGGAACTATTCATATTCATGCATGCTAGCTAGACATTTGCTAATCCCATAACCTCAACTAACATGTGGCGCTCTTCCTTTCTCTTTGTGACTTTACAAAGAGGAATTTAATGCTACAGTTAAGGCAGTTGGAAGCTTGAAAGCTTCAACCCTAGCTAACAATTTATCATCCAATCACTAAATTTCAATTTTAAGAATTTCACGCGCTAAATTTGAAGTGGGTTCCTCAAGATTAAAATTAGGGTCAAGGCCATTTATATTTGTATTATGAGGAAGGTGTCTATCTTAAAGTGTGACATAATGATCTCAAATGTATATTATATGAAGAATAATGAGCCACGTTATCTCCTTTGTGTTTGGTATTTTAACCCTATAACACGTTCTTCTTTTGATAAAGTATTGGTTGAGAATAAATTATTGTAATTAATACTGAGGTGTGCATAATATGGACTCATTTAGAAAAAGGATAAAATTATTTGTACAGACCATTTATACAAAGAGAATTTGTACAAACTACAAAGTAATCGTGACATATTATGTGAGTGTCACGTAACATGAGGCCACATAACATTAATGTGATATTAAGTTATGTGGGTCTCAATATCATATGACATGCTTTGTGATATATCACGTCAGTTTGTATATACTCTCTTTATATAAGAGTTTGTACAAATAACATTACCCGATAGAAAATTGTCTTAAAGCCTCACGACAACATACATAAACTTATAATGTTTTAAAATAATAAACTATGATATAATAGTTGTTGGAGTTGTTGACTACTTCAGCATTAATAGGTTATACAGATGCATTCAGGGGTGTTGCTGCCTGATTAGTGGGCGAGGGTCATGGGACAGCGCCCCCAGGTTCGTAGGTAGTTTGGATCTTTTCCATGTATAACCACTGTAGGATTTCTTTAAGTCATTAATTCTTTATTGGGTTTAAGCTTAGGAATATAAATCCTTATAAAACTAGGTTTTGTCACTTTAAACCTTGCAAGTATATAAATAAATTTTTCTCTTGTTCTAAGTGTGATAACAATTATAAGATAATTCATTTATTGTAAACGAGAGAGATGATGAAATATTGCAATAATATTGACTCAGTTAGACATAACTTATATTGGGTAAATTAAGATAAATCGCGCGTATTATTTTCTCTTTACTTATTATCTATAATTTATTTTATTGTTATATTGGTTTCGTGGTTGCTTCCATTTCGTTCAATAGTTAGGCTGATAATAAAAAAGGCAGTGGTAAGTATATGGGACTTTAGCGTCCATTGAATTAATTAATAATAATACAATGTGCGTAGTCAAGTCTGTGATGTTAAATTAAAACTGAGAGATGGACGATAGCTGCTTTAGTCGGTATAATTGTCAAATTACGGTATCTACCTGAGAATGATTGGCAACCTCATTGTAGACTATTACAAGGTTTTCCCATCGGCCATCACAAACCCTATATACCATTAATCAATTCTTTCACATTATCAGTCTTTCTATTGAAGAAGACAGGACTGCCCGCCTCAAACAAGAACCACTACCAATTAATTGCCTGCCTCTCTTGTCTACATAATTTTCTTACTTCCATCTACCTCTAGCTAACTCTTTCCATAATACATAACATAGTTAATATTATAATTGCATGCCCCTAATTAACTTCTTTCCATTAAACTTAATAAGAATATTGGATTAACTCACAAATAAAGTATCATTATGCATCAAGATTAACTTAAAAATGTTGACTTATGAGGAGTTAAAAAGCAAACTCTCACAAACTCTATTAACTTATTTCTATGAACGTTAATTGATTTATAATACCTTCCAGTTAAGGTGTATAAAAAGAGAATAATTGACTCTCATATACAAATTTGATCTAATAGTACGCACGGGCTGGGAATACTGGAATTGCAAAGTTTTATTAAAAAAAAAAAAAAAAAAAAAAAACCTGGAACCAGAACTTCACAAATCATCTTCTTCCACGATCTGCTGATAGCCACGAAAGAAACATAGAAGAAACGAAAATGTCCATTGTGAATGCGCTAACTAATACTAATTGGAGATCCATTAAAATTACTAAAAAGCAACCCTTGAGTGGATCAATTAGCTAGCTAATTTGCAACTCAGAATAATTGAATACTCACGAAGCACCCAAAGAAATTAAAACTGTATAATACAAACAACTCGCGTATTTATTTATGCATAGAAACAGTTATTCACAATTTCCATTATTTTTGTGTCACACCGCCAATATTATGTTATCTAACCCTATGTTACATACTTGCGTACTGATATTCTTATTTCTATATATAATATTTATCCCAACACATATACCCCCAAATCATTTTCTTTCGCTCACTGTATACATACCGTATACTTAAATACTAAATACAAACGTATTAAAATATAGAAAGTCACATGCAGCCCTATACAGTACTTTATTTTCTCATCACACCATGAAAGTACTAGATATAAATTCCACCGTCCTCCACCCCAAATGAAGGGCTAGGACAATTCCGATTAAGAAGCTCCTCTATCATTTGCAGTGCGATTCTTTCCTCTTCATCCATCTCTGCCTTGAGTTCGGGCCCTGTTATCTCTTCGGACTGAGCGCCCAAAGGCAATACGTTTCCTGAAACATCATCTGCATTATTCTTCCCAAGCTGGACAGTCATGACCCAATTCGAGTCAGAGCGTTGACCTGCCCTCTTTTGCCATACTCCAATGTGAGAGTTCTCTGTGTCAAGCCTCAAACAAGTCATAGAAGGTGATGGTGCCTTGCTACATTTCCGAAGCTTGGCGTGCAGAAGTTCTGATAAATCATTTGGAGGTGCCGAGGTCGAACTTTGACTAGGTTTAGGGTCTCCGGTTGGAGTTTGTGTTATTGGGAAATTCGTTTTCGCATTTCGTCCACTCATTAAGATTGCAGCTTGATCGTAAGCTCTAGCAGCTTCTTCGGCTGTTTCGAATGTGCCCAGCCACACCCTTCTTTTCCTGTAAAATACGAGTGCAACAACAAACAAAAACTAAAAAAATTGAACTAAAAGGATAACATGCTTTGAACGAACAAGAATAATTTATAAGTTTATAGAGCAATGTAGATGCAGTTGATGGAGCTTACAATAGTGGGTGGCGAATCTCAGAAACCCAGGAACCCCAGTGACGCTGCCTGACACCTCTAAACTTCTTTGATTGCACCATTTTGAAGAGAGAGAGAGAGAGAAAACAAAGTACGAATACAAGAGGGCTCAGAAAGATATGCAGATGATGAATGAAGTACAGAATGGCTCAGAGATGATGAAGATATAGAGAGATGATGTGTGAAGGAGTTAATTGAAGGGGTTCTGTCGGCGAAGTAAGTCGTACATAGTGAGCCTTGTAATAAACGAAATCACCTACACCTTCCTTAAAAACACCCAAACCTACCCAATTAATGAATGGGGCTTCTCTTTCATACAATTGCAACCGTGTCTTTTATGCTTCCCTTAACTTGCTATGCCATCTTCCATGTGAACATTATAGTAGAAAAAAGCGATATATGTGCATCCTTTTATTACTCTCTATTTACGAAAACCGAAAGTGATATAATCCTAAACAATGCCTTGAGCTGATAGGAAGATATTTCTTTATTAAACAAAATCATCCGGAGAATGGTCAAGGCAATGGTATCAACAAACCAAGAATGACCATTTCTATATTATATGATCAAATATGATTGCAGGGCTTTCTTTTACCCAACGAAAATTTACTTTGTATTAAAAAACTTAAAAGAGGAAATACATATATAATAATGTTATGAGTTTATTAGTTGAGTTTTGAATAAGACACGGTGTTCGTGTAAAAGAAATATCAAACAAAGTATACATCAATAGATGACAGAGTCTTTTTACTAGCCATCAAGATCTAAGAGTGCTTCTAGTACACAGCATATCTCAAAAATAATTTAATGTGAATTAAAAACACTACATGTCCCAGTATTCTACAGAAGAATGTGAGAGTTTTGTGTAATTTTAAATCATGTTTTCCTATGTTTGGCTTTGCAATTTTTATATCCTTTTGTTTAAAACAAGGCCAAACCCACTTTTTAAATTAATCAAGATAAATACAGAACATAAATATTTTTGACCAATGTACCAAACGGAAACTTTAATTCTTTAAATATTAGAGTAATTGCTTTCTTCAAGTAATAATAGTAATAATAATAAAAGGTGGAGTTCCCACCCAGAGAAAATATGACATCCATTCCAAGTACTAACCTGGGGCTTAATTTTTTCAAAACCTAGTGAGTACAACCATTAAGTTGCAAGCCTGCAGGCTTAAGTAACTTCTTTATATAAATAATATGAGACAGATCATGTATCAACTTATTGAAAAGTGTTAAAAATTTTATTTGTCCCACATTATCAATTTAATAGACTATTATAATGTATATAGTTAATTTAGTATATTGTTATAGTATATATATATGAGGTTGAACTCCCCCTCCTCTAAGTTGTTTTTTAGACTCAACAAATACATCAAAATCAACAAATTAATTAGCTTTTGGAGTTTGGACTCAGTCACACACAAACTGATTCGTCATAATAAAGCAACTTTGTTTCAGGCCAAATAGCGATCAAATTGTCAAGATCTTAATTTGTTCGTGGTCATATGAACTTTAGACGTCTTTTTTATATCATTTAATATCCGTACTCTGATCTTTCTGCTTGATCTTTTGATTTAAACAACCAACTAGCAGAATAAAAAAAAATAAAAACACTTGGGTTTGAAGAGCTGTCGCCACTTGCCAGAACCGAAGGGTTACATTTCAACCTGCAATTCACTGTAGCTCGTCTTCTTCATATGGCTGATTATATAGGGTCTTGATTTTCATGGATCAATTGTAAAGTAACTAGTCTTGGAAATGAGTTTTGATTTATCGAAATATAAATGTCCGTGAAACATTAAATCTTTTGTTGATGATTATATTTATTAAATGTAATTTACACCATGTGGTAAATTTTATGTAACCAACAACTCTTTTAATTAGATTAACTTAGAAAATAAGAGTAATGTTACAGACACCAAAATTTTACAAAGAATTTTTGTACCGAAAAACATGGCAACTAGTCAGACGCGACTACACTAGAGTCTTTCATAAATAAACGGTCATCCAACATTTATGGACGTCCATCCATATTTAATAGACTCTCTTTCATATTATATGGACATGTGTCTATTTATTATGGATGACCCGTTCAAAAAATTTTACATTCTTAGATGGATGTCTATCCATTGTTTAGTTTAAAAAATTTTACATTCAATTTGTTCATTCGCAGAATATTTGTTAACATGATATGTGGCTCATCTGATTCAATTCAGTGCAAAGCGTCGGTTTCGTAGCATTTTTCAAAAAATAATGGACGGATTAAGTATTTGATAAATGCAATAATAAAGATGGGGGACATGCAGAACCAATATCAGAGGAAGGCAATTATTAGATGGTGAAACTCCAATCAATATATAATATATATATAAAAGGTATCAAATTCCAAACCACTTGGAGCTAGCGCAAAAACTGAAAAAAACCCTTGCATGTATGATTGCATGAAACGCAACTATCACATACATAGATACATACATACTGATTCACCAACTCCATCGTATATATATATCAACCACACTACTATACTGCTGGACCTGGAAAGATCCACGTGATTTATCAACGCTTTCTTTAATACAACCTCTGGGACATATCCAACTTTTGACATCGTCACTTTCACTGCTGCCATCAAATCTTACCATTTCTGAATTCACTTCATCATTTGATGTTTACTCTGATACATCAACATCTACTTTTAGTAAATTAATATATTGGATAGTTATCATGTATTACCATAGTTTTGCAGAGATCCTCTAATTAATGTCACTCTCATCATTATTCATATCTCATGGTTTTTGATCTCAATGGCTTGTTACTTTTTTACGATTGATTTTGATCTCGATAGAACAGCAGTCTCTTCCGGAATAAAAATGATCCCAGGGCGATGAATGTACGCAGTAAATTTGTACAACGTACGCCTTGAAAGAATTAATTAATTATGATATACTTGCAGATATTCTTACGTAATATTTCAACATCAAACCAGACGTGCAATATCATAATTGCATTAACTGTAGGTAAAATTAAATCACTGATCAATGTCTGAGGTACGATGGAGAAGACGAAAGCATTATATAAATTGGCTTGGGAAATTGAATTTACTGTTTCTGAAACATATTTCTTATTCATTCTACTTACTTTCTTAGTTAATTGCCACCTCCTATGTCTATATGTCTCATCAGATTGCTAGCATGTTGAAAAAGCAAAGAAGCCAGTCAATCTTGATATGAACATTATGTTAAAAGACTGTAGAAGAGATGATTCAAGTTACAACAAAGTACATTAATTTTACTTCATCATGACGATCACGATTGACTTTAGATGATCTACAACTACTTAAAAAATTATGGTAGTATGATCAACCACGTAAAGGTTTGGAATTGAATACGAGAAAAGTGTAGAGAGCAAACTCACATGCATATGACAATGATGTTTACACACAAAGGCATCAAAATACACAAACTAACGAACCAGAACCTAGTAAGACACCTGCAAGACAGAGACTTTGTGGTTAAATTTCCAACCAACACATCTCCAGCTAAGAGGAGACTGAAAATTATACGAAAGAAGTGGAAAACAGAAGCCATTTCCATCCACTTGCGGATTATTTAAATGGTGTTTAATATACTGTAAGTGTTGGAGTCTGACTGTGGTCCCTTGGAAACAATAGATAAGCCAAGAAGAAGGGAATAACCAGATTAACCCAATATTGTATTAATCCTCATCTCTCTTTGTTACCTCCTCATCTATTGATCAGGGCTAGCTAGACATGTGCATCCAGTAATTGCTGACAGTGGTTTAATGCTTGTTTTGGGCAGAAATTGGCGTTGCTCAAAGATAAAAATATTACTCATCAACATCAATAAGTTATAACCGTTGTAATTCACGGTTAATTTCCTATATAAACATAATGTTTTCAATAATTTAAGTAAATTATATATGTATTGATGTCAATTTGGTCGTACATTTTGTTAGTTTAGATTATGATATTGGAATTTATGATGAGTATTAAATAGCCGCCCTATGAAGTGACAAGTGAAGAAAAGGATTTATAAGATGACAAGTGATCGATCCAAGAGTAACATTCTTAAAGCCAACAAATTTTTTAAACAAATTGCCTCGTCACCTGACACTGATCGTGAAATTGACAATATTTTGTGAATTTAATTATCATGTCACAGTTTTTGCGTCCTTAATCAACGACAAATATTAACAGGTTTATTAAACAAAAACTCTTTCTCCATCATATGACAGATTTTTCATCAATTCCTCATTATGCAGTAGTTTAATTTGAATTCTAATGAAAAAAAATAAGAAGTTATCTTCTAAATTAATCCATAAATTATAAGATATTTTCGTATAGACGTAAATGTATTGTTCCTCAATCCAATTACGGAAACTTTTTTATTTTCTCTCTCTTTATTTCTTCAAAGAAAATTTCCAGGATTCTTATGGAAACTAGAGTCCCATTTCCAAAACCAAAGTAATTTGTGAAACTAATGAGGGTTTATTTAATTACACATTTTTATTTTTTTATTTTTTTGGTTATTGTACGTTTAATTTAAATTAAATCACACTTTGTACTTTTTTTTTTTTCCGTAAATAAACTTAAAAAATGATCATTTTTTAACTTGATCAGAAAATATACAATTTTCCGAGAACAAATGGTGTTATATTCTTTAAAATGAAAAATAAAAAATTGAGGCTAAGAAAGAGATATATTTGGGCTTGAATAACCAGAGTCCAATAATGTTGTTAAATATCTTTAGCCCAATGATTAGTCATGATAATTTTAATGGGCCAGTGTCGTTGCGTTACCCACTTAAAAAGTATCAGGCCCTCTTCTCGAATTTAAACCGTTTCAAAAGCAGATTTTTAATTATCAAACGACCTTTAAGCACTTATGATCTGAAACAAGGATCTGGATCCACCTACCATTCAACCGTTTTAACTACCAGTCTTCTTCTACTTACGAGAAAGTATGGACGATAACTTCTTTTTTTGTTTTAATCTTTTCATGACCATCCATGGAACCATTACACAAAACTTATCTACTCAAATCGCCCGAGTTGCCTCCTTTGATTCAGTCCCCACGCGTTCATTATTCCACAATGCTCAAAGACAAACTGAAACTCCCCGATAAAGCGCGGCGAGTGTTTCCCGATCGGCTCGGGAGCTTAGTTTCAGGATTCAACGATAAAGAAGAAGAAAACGAAGATTCAGCTTCGGAAACCGAGGTGGGTAAAGAGCTCGAGATTTTACTGCCAAACGCCTCCGGGTCCGGCGAGGCAAGTGAGGATGATTATGTGGAGAAGATAGAAGAACAACGTCTGTCAGGGATCCGGCAGAGACCTGAAAAGGAAGGGACGGGTCTGGTGTCGGTTAAGGAAGTTATTGCGGCGGATGACAAAAGGTCTGACCTTGAGTATGAGGTGAGAAATTGTTAATATAATTTATTCAATTAAAAAAATAAGTAGTAGCTAGGGTTTATTTCAATTATATGTGCATTGTTATGTTTACCAGAGAAATATTTTTTTTGGTTTGGATATGCAAATAATATATATTTTTGTTTATATTTTATGATCAGTTATCTCAAATGGAGATAAATTTGGAGAAGTTGCAGAGAATTGCTGACACAGGACTTCCTGAAGGAGGAGGTTTGCGTGCAACAGTTTGGAAGGTATGTAAGGTTTTATTTATTTATTTTTATTGTTAGTATCATGCTTTTATTTTATTTAGTTTCGATTAATTCAGCTTATGTAAATAGTTTTGCAATTTGAAATTTGCATGATGCTACAATGTAAATGCTTTGGCAGAAAAAAAATGCAGTCAAAAAGAATTATCAGTAGTGGATTATTGCCTATCATCTACATGACAATTTAACTGTTAGCTGCTGTTTTAACTTCTTTATTTATTTTTCTTTCACCCTTTATGCTAGCAGCTGCTCTTGGGTTACTTACCTCCTTCTCGTGACTTATGGGAAAAGGAGCTGAGTGAGAATCGACAAAAATATTCCAAGCTAAAACAGGAACTTCTGTTGAGTCCTGTAAGATGCTAGTCACCTTGCTCTTAATCTAGTGAATAGATTCCTTAATTTAGTAGTGCAAGTATTTCTTACTCATTAGATGAGGTGCATTACTTTTGGTTAGTGCCTAAGTGGTTACCATCACTAATCAAAATCTTGAATCTAGACAGTCACAATTTACAAGGATTAAAGATGAATCACTAAAGTCCAATGAACAGAGTGCTGACAATGATGGTGATGGACTACTTAGGCGACATGAAATTTCTCAAGAGGATCATCCTCTGAGTCTTGGTAAGGCTAGTGTTTGGAATCAATACTTTGAGGTATGTCTTTATTCCATTTCAAGATGTGTCTTAAACTTCTCTTGGCAAACCTGAGCTGATGTTTATCGAAATAAACACATGTTTCTAGCATACAGAGATATCAGAACAGATTGACCGTGATTTACAGCGTACACATCCTGATATGAAATTCTTCTCAGGGGAAACATCATTCAGTAGGAAAACTAGGGTATATTCCCCTCTACCCCCTGACGTTTTGCATTAACAGCATGCTTTTTTTCAATACAGACTGCAAAAGCAACTTCTTATTTCTATTCATGGTGCTACAAGCTTGTCTCAACATGTAGCCAACAGAAGAAATCTCACCGACACTTCTCATTGCAAAAGTAAATAATAAAAGTTCTTTCAAAGTGAATGATGTGATGCATTTTTATCTGCAGGAAGCAATGAGGAATATTCTTCTCCTATTTTCAAAACTAAATCCTGCTATTCGCTATGTTCAAGGCATGAATGAAGTCTTGGCACCATTATACTATGTTTTCAGTACTGACCCTGACGAACAGAATGCTGTAAGAATTATACAATATTCTTAAATCTCTAAGGCTCAGTGGTTTGTGATCCTCTGTATAATATCTTGGGGTACAATTGTCATGTTAATTTTGAAGAATAATGTTTGAGTTGTAATTGAATTGAATTTAAACCTATATGGAATGTTTTATACCATGAGTGTTCTAAACTCTATTCATTTTGTTCCATCATACAGGTAAATGCAGAAGCAGATAGTTTCTGTTGTTTTGTTCGACTCTTGAGTGACTCAGTGGATCACTTTTGTCAACAATTGGATAACAGTGCTGTTGGTATCCTTTCAACTCTTTCCCGGTTGTCAGAGTTACTAAAAGCTAATAATGAGGAATTGTGGCACCATCTTGAAGTCACAAACAAGGTAAATTGAATTTAATGGGACTATAGAGTATGCCTTTTTGGATGTTTAATACATACTGTCTCAACATATTGATCAGATGCTAAATGTCTTGACCCCTCTTTTTATGGTTTCTGGCTGCACAATATTTTTCAATAAGTCTCTATCTTCTCATAAACTTGTTTTTCTTGTATTTCTTAGAAACTTATACCTTGAATTATGATGAGCAGGTTAAGCCGCAATTCTATGCTTTCAGGTGGATCACATTGCTACTTACTCAAGAATTCAATTTCCAGTCCATCTTAAGAATTTGGGATTCTTTTTTGAGTAATCCTTTTGGTGTCCAGGTCTCTCTCTCCAAACATGATTCTCTTGGTGTAGTTTTGTTTGACTATCTCAATTTCTTTTTATAGATAAAATAACAACAATCTGAATTAACTGATTTATTGAAAGCAAGCTCCACTTTATGCAGGATATGCTGCTACGGGTCTGCTGTGCAATGCTGTTGTGCATACGAAGCAGACTTTTAAGTGGTGATTTTGCAGCTAACTTAAAGCTTTTACAACACTATCCTGAAATCAACATAGAATACCTTCTTCAGGTAGCCAGGGATCTGAGTCCTGATACGTCTTCCTATCGCTTGTCTCTGTAAAATTCTTCCATTAAATGCGCCTTGTGTATACCAACTCCTCTCTTAATTTTAACATGGTTTGTAATCAGTAACCTATAGCTTGAGTTCGTACATTCTAACCAAAAAAAAAAAAGTTTTAATCTTATTTTTGAAAGGAAAATATCATCATTATCAGAAATGAGTACTGAACATTCATTTTCCTTCTTTTCTGGCCTGGAATCAGGATTCAACTCAATTATCAGTAATCACTTATTCTTAATCAGAGGTCCATCACTGACTGATGCTTGATAGACATGCCCCTTTTCCGCACCTTGCAGGATTAAGTTATAATAAATTACAATCAAGTGATGGTGACAGGATTTTCCATGACTAATCCTATGTCTAATCACCGCATGCCCGAAATGAATGACGCAGTACTTTGTGTGATTTAGTGATTAGTTGGCATGGGATCAATAAGGCAACCTGCTGCATCTTTTGGATTAAAAAAGTCCATTTGCAAGCTGTATATATATTTGTACTTGCTACTTCCTCTATGGCTGGGGAACCAATTGACCAGTTGTTTGGAGTTGAGGAACGGTAGCTTCCGTATTGTGTAGAGATTAAGCATGAAACCTTTTACAATATGATCTAATTCCTAAACTTGATGTAATACTATATGCTTAATAATCTTTCAGAAGTCAATGACGTAAATTGCTTCAAATCTAGTGATGTTAACAAAGACAGACTCATATTGAAGAAAAAATGGTCAATAAATAATAAACGTGAAAATCAAAGCTTATTGCGTGATATATCCACAGCCATTCATCAATCAAATTCTTCAAAATTAGATCTCTCTTAGCCTTAATTATGTGTAAAATTAAGAGCTCTTCTGCATTCTCTTCCAACAGTAGTTTTTTGTGGATCCTGGACGTCAGCTACCAAGATCCATCTGCTTATTTATACTTGCTCCTCCTCTATATATTAAACGGGATTATTCCCGCCTCCGAATAGTACTCCTTAAAGAAGACAGTTAAAGAGAAAAAACCTTAATAGCGACAAAGAGCTGGTTGCATCTTTTTTCGCGCCAACATCAGCAAATTGAATAAAATTAAGCTGAGACAACTGGCTTCTTTCTTTCGGTTTACCTGCTACACCATTGGTCAATATTTTAAATTACAACTTCCATTCCATGAATTGCTTAAGCTTCTCTTCAGACTTGTTATATTCCTTTCCTTCCCTGGAAGATCGATTGTATTATATGTATAAGCATTATTGTTTTGTCTGATTTATTAGTGATCTTTGGTGATAATTGTTGTCTGTGTGCTTATTTGAACACTCTTGTTTAAATTTCAGTTCAAATTTGGTGATATTTGAAGTACTTATGGCAAGTTTTTTGCTTCACGGGACGCTTCATGTGACAATCTGTGAGATCGACAAGCTCTCTGGAAAGGTTTTCAAGGTATGCTCACTCAGAATAGCCTTAATTATCACTGCCAAAGTCTGTATTTCTTTTTTATTTTTTCTTCGGTGACTCCGTGCTTGTGTACATTTTTCCTCCATTAAAGAATTACTGAAATTAGGCCATAATTTCTTCAACAATGATTTCTGCATATCGATACTGTGACCATTTCAATGATTTCTGGGCGCTTTGTTTGCATTGGAAGACATCATATTTCTCGTAGTGTCAATGGATGGATAACTTAGAAGAACGCTCAATGTGGCCTTTATTTAATTTTCATCTTTCTGATTTGCCAGGCATGATGTTTGAACTTGATTTATTTTCAGAATTCATCTATGGAACTGCTTTTCTGTCACTGGTCGTATGATGAAAATCTGCTTTCAATCTATTTGAAATACCCCTTTTCTCTCTGTCTGTACGTTTCTAGAATGCCTCAACAATTGTTCAAGCTTTTCTTTTTTGTCAATTTTTTCCATTCTAATCTACTTGATTATCTAGGATAAGTTGTAATCTTACTTAGTACATCTAGAGTCAGTCACCCTCACCTGGGGTAGCATTTCAAAATTTTGAAATTCAAACCAATTCTCATGCTTTCTTGAAAACTGAAGATATTTCCTATGTGAAAGTTGATTCATTTATTTTTAATTATTTCTCCTTAATCTCAAGTCTAATTTGAAATTATAATCGTCTGTCCTCCAGCCACTGAAAAACATTGAAGAGGTTCTTGGAATCAGAAAAGGTTTTTCAAAACTCTATGTAACAATTGATATAGATAAAGCAAGAGTTGGGAGGACTAGAATTTTAGAAAATGAACACTCTGATCCGCAATGGAATGAATCTTTTCACATTTACTGCGCCCACATGGCTTCTAATATCAGATTCTCTATCAAACATAATAATCATATTGGAGCAACAGTTATTGGGAGAGCTTATTTGCCTGTTGAAGAACTGCTAGATGGAGAAGAAGTGGATAGATGGCTTAATATCGTGCATCATGATCATAAATCTCTACACGGCGGTTCCAAGATCCACGTGAAATTACAATTTTATGATGTCACTAGACATAGTAACTGGTCCAGAGGGATTCGAAGTCCTAAATTTCCAGGAGTTCCTTACACATTCTTTCCCCAGAGAAATAGTTGTAGAGTTACTCTTTACCAAGATGCTCATGTCCCGGATAAATTTATCCCAAATATCCCTCTTGCAGGAGGGAAGTTTTATGAGCCACAGAGATGCTGGGAAGACATTTTCGATGCAATAACTAATGCAAAGCACTTGATTTACATTACAGGCTGGTCTGTATATGCTAAGATCACCTTAATAAGGGACTTGAGGCGACAAAAACCAGGAGGCGAAATGTCTCTGGGCGAGCTGCTTATAAGGAAGGCCAATGAAGGTGTCACAGTTCTGATGCTAGTTTGGGATGACAGGACTTCAGGTAAGTTACTGAAGAATGACGGGGTGATGGCTACGCATGATGAAGACACTGGAGCTTACTTCCATAATACTGGAGTCCATTGTGTTCTGTGTCCACGTAATCCTGATAATGGGCGAAGCATTGTTCAAAACGTGGAGATCTCTACTATGTTTACTCATCACCAGAAGTCTCTAGTTGTGGATAGTGAAATGCCCAGTGGAGCATCAAATAGAAGAAGGATAGTAAGTTTTATTGGAGGCATTGATCTTTGTGATGGGAGATATGACACTCCTTTTCATCCCATTTTCGGGACACTGGACACATTACATCACAATGATTTTCATCAACCCTGTTTCCCTGGTGCCTCAATTGCTAAAGGAGGACCAAGGGAGCCTTGGCATGATGTCCACAGCCGATTGGAAGGACCCATTGCCTGGGATGTATTGTTCAATTTTGAACAAAGGTGGAGGAAGCAAGGTGGGAAGGACTTGCTCGTTAAACTAAAAGAACTTGATGATATATTCATACCTCCATCTCCTGTAATGTTTCCTCAAGACCATGATACATGGAATGTTCAATTGCTTCGGTCCATTGATGGTGGAGCAGCTTTTGGCTTTCCAGAAACTCCTGAGGATGCAGCAAGGGCAGGGCTGGTCAGTGGGAAGGATAGCATTATTGACCGAAGCATTCAGGATGCATATATCAATGCCATTCGTAGAGCAAAAGATTTCATCTACATTGAAAATCAGTATTTTCTTGGAAGCTCTTTTTGCTGGAACTCAGATGACATTAAGGTTGAGGAGGTCGGTGCATTGCATCTTATACCAAAAGAATTGTCACTAAAGATTGTTAGCAAGATTGAATCAGGAGAGAGATTTACTGTCTACATTGTCATTCCAATGTGGCCAGAGGGTATCCCAGAGAGTGCATCTGTTCAAGCAATACTGAATTGGCAGAAAAGGACGATGGAGATGATGTATACTGATATAGCTCAGGTCCTTCAAGCCAAGAACTTGGAAGCGAACCCGAAGGACTATTTGTCATTCTTTTGCCTGGCAAATCGTGAGAGCAAGAAGAGTGAGGAATATGCACCTTCAGACACACCTGAGCATAATTCAAACTACAGTAGAGCTCAGGAAGCCAGGCGGTTCATGATCTATGTTCATGCCAAGATGATGATAGGTAAGTTATTTAACAGATTCTTCTTTCAAAATTTCGAAGTAGAAGTAAAGTTTGCCAAAACCTCTTTCAAATCATATAACATCACCTTTCCCGTTCTATCTTTCAGTTATACTAATGAGGAATATTACTTGCTTCGCCACTATCAGGATTTTTGCATTTGTGCAACTTTCTTCTACCTGTCAAGTGTCAACATTAATAACTCTGTAGTGCTAGAAATATTTTCTGCTCATTTATTTTTTTTCTCAGGCGTTAAGTTGATCCAAATTAACATCAAAATCCAAATTTTGGCATTACTTGCAATTTTGCAGTTGACGATGAATATATTATCATTGGATCCGCCAACATCAATCAAAGATCAATGGATGGTGCCAGGGATTCAGAGATTGCCATGGGAGCATACCAACCATATCACCTGTCCACCAAAGAGCCAGCCAGGGGTCAGATTCATGGCTTCCGAATGGCGTTATGGTATGAACATTTAGGCATGCTTGATGATTCGTTTCTCCAACCAGCCAGCATGGAGTCTATTCGAAAAGTGAACGTAATTGCAGAAAAATACTGGCACATCTACTCCTCCGAGGCATCAGACCATTGCTTGCCAGGCCATTTGATTAGTTATCCCATCTGTGTTAAAAGCAATGGAGAGGTGACACAACGTCCAGGGACAGAGTTTTTCCCGGACACTGAAGCTCGAGTTCTTGGTTCTAAATCCGAGATACTTCCTCCAATACTCACTACTTAATTTCGTCACCCAATTGTTGGAAAAAACAAATTGTCTGATACTGTCTTCTCTTATAATTGCTAATAAAGTTCATTTGGTCAGTACATAAAAGTAATTTTATTTTATTTTTACGAACAAACGATTCAGGAAATATTCAATTCCTTAAATAAGAAAGAATACAATTCTAGGAAAGTGTTGGATAATGCATTGAAAAATTATAATTGTCGGCTGCTTGTGAAACCAAAATTGAGGTCTTGTGGAATATGTGATTTGACTGGCAGATGCCAAGTAGACAGTACTGGGACAAAAAACTGTTGATCTACCCTACCTTGCATTTATTCATGTTTCATGATTCAACAACAAGTATGTGTGTTCACATTAACCGATTTTGGTAAATGTTGACTTGAAATAATTAAGGTTAATGGAGTATATGGGTAGCTACCTCTTCCACAAATTAGGGATGGCAAAATGCCCCATAGGTTTGGATACCCGTGGGAAAACTAGGAATGGGCATAATACTCGTCTTCGTGGGGACTTGTCCCGAATGGGGTGGAGTTTCTCCGAATTATATATATATAATTTTAACTATTTAATCTTATATTAATTTTAATAGTTAAAAATTAATCAATTAATTCATTAATTATATAAGAATAAATTATAATTGTGTGAATATTTTATAAAACTATATTCAAATAGGTAATAAATAAAATTATATTAAATATAATAAATCATTATAAATATTTGTAATACATAATAAATATGTTATGTATATAATGTATAATTTGAAATACATAATATATATGTTATTTATGTATAATGTATCATTTGATATTTTGATTGATTATAATAAATCAATAAATCATTATAATTTTTTTTTTTTTTGGTCCCTCATTGAATCATTATTTCAATTCCATTACCTAATTACCCTTATTATATTATGGTAGTTATTTATTTAGAGTTTATTATAATATATATGTATAATGTATCATATGTAATACATTATGTGTAATGTTATGTATTATTTAGAATATTAATGAGACATTGTAATGTAGACGGTATAATTTATTTAGAATTTATTACTTCCTTTGTTTCTTTATAATTGACGTTTTAAGGCTCGGCACACTTTTTGATAAATCAATTTTATCTTTCCTCTTATTGACTTCTTCCTCTGATGTTGCAGGTGGGAAAATTTTGGTTTTTCCCGCTACATACACGTGTGCAATACTGAAATAATTTAATATGTATATATTGTCATTTTCTCTCTCCTACTGACTTACTTTCATTTCTTTTATTCTAATTGTCACTCACCATGGCCATCTCTTTTTTACTGACTTCCATCTCTTTGATTATATTCGTCACTTATCATGGCCGAACAATGTAATAGTAGAATTGTGCTTGGGGAAATTGATTTCAATGTTCTTCCAACATTAGAAGCTACGAATGAAGTTGGTGACATAGTTGAGGAAGTTAATACACATGTGAGCTGGAAAAACCTCACAAATGAACAAAGGCAAACTATTTTTGAATTTCTGTTGAAGCGAAGTGTCAATGGACAATTGAAGAAAAACACTACATCTGAGGTGGCTCAATTATTTTCAATTAGTATGCGTACAGTCCAACGCATTTGGCAACGAGGAAAAGAAAATGAAGTATTGGATTCTAACACTAATGTGTCTAGCTGAAAGGCACTCAATTGTGGGCGCAAGCGTCTTCAAATTGACATCAATCAATTTTGACATATTCCATTGTGAAGAAGGACGACATTGAGGTCTTTATCTGTTGCCACAAATTTTTCAGTGACAACGTTGTTTAGGTGGTTAAAAGAGGGTTTCATACGTTGTCATTCAAATGCTATAAAACTTGTATTAAACGTGGAAAACATGAAAGCTAGAATACACTTTTGTTTATCGATGATTGCACAAGGCAACAACCCCAATTGTTTGAGATTGGTAACCATGGAAAATATTATTCATGTTGATGAGAAGTGATTCTACATGACAAAACAGTCAGAGAAAGATTACCTCCTTCCTGACGAAGACGAGCCTTTACGCACATATAAGAGTAAGACTTTTATTACTAAAGTCATGTTTATGGTTGCAGTGACACGCCCAAGGTTTGATGAATAAGGGAATGAATTATTTTCTGGAAAAATCGGGATATTTCCTTTCATAAATAAAGAACCAGCAAGGAGAAGCAATAAAAATCGTTCTACAGGAACCATGGAGACTAAAACAATCAATTCTATCAATAAAGAAATTTATCGATCTTACATAGTTGAGAAAATCTTGCCGGCTATCCGAGATAAGTGGCCAAAAATTGATGCAAGAAGTCCAATATTTATCCAACAAGACAATGCGAAACCTCCTATTGGTTTGGATGATGAGTATTTTCAAAGTAATGCTACTAAAGATGGCTTCGACATACGTTTGATCTATCAGCCTTCGAATTCTCCAGATATGAATGTTCTAAACTTGGTTTTTTTAAAAGCAATACAAGGACTACAATACCAACAGGCGCCCAACTCTGTAGATGTGCTCATAGAGGCTATTCATAAGTCATTTGATGAATACTCGCCAACAAAATTGAATCATACGTTTTTAACTTTACAGTCATTTATGATTTCAATTTTGAAAGTTGGAGGTTTGAACAAATATAAGGTTCCGCACATGAAAAAACATAGGTTGGAGGGACAAAATTGCATTCCTAAACAGTTAGATGTTGACCCCGCGTTAATTGGAGAAGCAATTGCTCAATATCAATAAGTGTTACAATTGACCTATCTAGTATTGTAGATTAGTTTTGTTTTGTCTATGATGTTCATTTGGGTTTTGATAAGATATTGTCTTTTAGGAGTAGTTTATGCTTCATTTTGATTTCTATGCTTTTTTGCTGTAAAGAAATTTTACCCCAACATACAAGAAAAGAACTTGTTCTATTTTGTAATATAAGCTTTTGTTATGGTAATATATAAGAATAAAAGAATGAGTCCCAACCAAAGGACCCTACAAAGTCATGGTCTTTGGACAAGCCTAAGAAACCAAATCAAGAACAACAACAACAAAAAAACAAGGATTAAAGTTCTAACAAAACATGTAGTCAGTCAAAGAAATACTAGACAAAAAAGGGCAGTAGTAAAAAAAGCAGGCTATCTGGGCACAAAGCAAATTGCACAGTCTGTACATAGAGGTCCGCAGCCAAAAAGTCTCAAAACTCCAACCACCCTTAAGGAAATCCAACAAAAGCTTCAATCCCCAACCAGTAGAAAAAACCAAGACTCACCACAGCAAAACTCCTACAAAGCACACACCCAAGGACAAGAGAAAACAAGCAACACCTCCTAACAAGAATGGAAACTCCAACAAAGAGGTTTTGTAACCAAATCCATGACCTGCAACTTGGGGCAGCCACATGCCCTTCTCAACACCAAAGGCCTCGCAGAATAGACTAAAACAAAACATAGGCAAATGTCACAAAAATTGAGCCAAAACCCAAATAAAAAGCAGCAACCAATTGAGAAAAACCGAAACACCTGAAACACCCAACAATCACTCTCACTAAGGAGTACAAGGCCCGATCATCTCCTGGCGACTATGCGAGCCATAACATCAACGAACATATCCCCACTAACAGGCACTTTATAGACTTCGACATATGTAAAGAAATCAAGCAAATCACCCAATACACATTTTTGTTCATCATTCCTATTAAGGTTGCCAATTAGCTCTTGAGAGTAAGACAAACATTGGACTTCTTTAACACCATTTTCACGAGCTACACACAGTCCATGATATAAGGCAAGATATTCTGCATGTAGTGTGTTAGAAGTTGACACATACTGTTCCAGTAAGGTCAAATTTCCACAGCGTGTATCATGCATTACAATGCCCACTGCTGATTTTTCTAGGTTATTCCAAACTCCAAAAATTTCAATTTTGACAATCGGTCTTGATGTAGCTTCTACATTGTTTTTTGTAACATGTATTGTATAAGAGAAAATATTGTAACTAATTAACTGAATTGATGAAAGCAAAAAAAGTATTGACATTGACCAAAGAAAAAATCAAATAAAACCTTCACTATTCATATCCACCATTCCAAATTCATTTGCAATGCTTGTATTGCCTTCAGTGTCAACAATTTGGCCCCATTGTTGATGTTATGATTATCTTCAAAACCTAATCATTCATAAATTAAAAAGTCAAATGAGTCATGCAACAATGTACCATTATCAATTTTAAGAATAATAACCTTAAAAAAAAACACAAAAAAGCCACTTACATGATAAAGGCACCCATATCCTCATTTGTTCTAATTCTTCATTCAAAAGTTTACGACTCATAATCTCCACTACGTTTACAGCCTGATGTATTTACAGAACCTCAATTTGTAGAACACAATAACACAATAACATCATCCATAGTCAACCATAACATTTTTTTCTTAGTCGCACACATTTTACTTCACAAACAAACAAAGCACAAAAAGGTGGAGGCAAGGCAATTAAATGCTATCAAAGCAAGGAAGAAATACCTGCCACTCAACCATCTTCCAAATTGCTAGATTGAGTAATGTCGGAGTCGCAACATCAAGGTTTGACCCAAATTGAGCAAGGGCAGCCACTTCGCAATTGAAAATCTCGATAACCTAAACAAAAATGCAACTCTATCTTAAAAAAAAAAAAAAAAAAAAAAAAAAAAAAAGGAGGCTGTAGAGTACACAAGAGATCATAGCATACATGCTTTTAATTGAAAAAGTTCTTCCTTCCTTTTTGCAGGTTCTACAACCTTAGTAATCAAGGAAGAAATTTTCTTATTTAACTCCTCTGGTTTGAAAGGGCACATAACAGTATCAATTGAAACCCTGTCCTTGCAAAAGGATTGATTCGCATGCGTTGCTCTCAAAGGACTACTCGGTTTCACATCATAAATATTCTCACGCTCTTCACCTATGCTTGAAAGAGAAAGAGAGAAAGGAGATGAGAGGCGGAGATAGAGAAAGAGAGAGAGGAGATATGGGCCATAGAAAACGTGGAAGAGAGGAGATGAGGGGAAGAGAGAGAGAGGAGATGTGGGCCATATAAAAAGTGGAGAGAGTAGATGAGGGGCAGAGTAGAGAAAGAGAGAAAGGAGATGTGGGTCAGAGAAACAATAGAAGAGAAAAGACAAGGGCAAATGTCGAGCAAGAGAGAAAGGGTTGAGTTGGTAACATCATTTATTTTGGAAAAAGCTAATACCCTTAAAACGTCAATTATAGAGAAACGGAATGAGTATAATATATTATATATTATACATTATACATAATATGCTATTATCCGTAATCATAATATCATTTATTTATATATTAATACTTGTTACTCACTACAATAACACGTAATATTAGACCATTAATATATATATATATATATATATATATACACTTTCTTCATTTCTAATAACAAGGGTAATCTAGACTTTTTATTAAATAATTTCACCTAACAGGACTAAACTGTTCATATCCCAAAGTATTAGAAATAAGTGCAATATACTTATAACCTTAAGGATGAAAGTGTGAAAACTCTCAACAAGATTACATATCTCTAACAAGCCCCAGCAAGATGCTACTCCCATCAAAGACACAAATGTTGGCTTGAAGGTGATGAAGATAATGCAGAGATACAGGCAAGAATCAACAAGTTGATATTGGCTAGAAACATGAGATGCTCAAAGCTCACCATTGGACAATTTGTCAAGGACAAATTGAAATTAATGAGGGCTACAAAAAAAAAGTCTGAAAACCAAACCGAATTGAAACGGGTTCAAAAAATCAATTTTTCTGAATAACTAGTTCGGTTTCGGTTTGAAAATTAAGAAAACCAGAAAACCAGTTCGGTTAACGGTTCAAGTCTAATTTTGAACCAGTTAACCGAAAATGGTTTTCCTAAAATATTTAAAACCCTATCTTCAATAAATCTACTATTGGTTTTCCCCAAAAAATTTAAAAACCATATCTTCAGTAAATCTATTTTGAAAATTAAACCCTTCATCTTGGCATCACATCTTTTAAACGGCTAAACCTAATCTACTCANAAAAATTTGTAAATTTTGTGCACGTGGCATGAATCCATGTTTCAAGAATTTGCCGCACAACACTTGATAAAATTACTGGTTACCGAAAAATAAAATGGGGAATAAAGTTGATTTGGGAAATACACTCCCCATGTGGGGACTCGACTCTCCATCTCCACTCCGTTTAAATAATTTGGGTAAGGGAGTGGGTAACAGAGACCAAGATTGTAAATGAGGTGGGGAATGGAGAAGGCCTTCTCACCTGGAACCGCCCCATTGCTTGAGTGGTCGATTTCTTGTCAAAAGGAGGTTCTGTCATCTTTATATAATAAGTAGAGTCCCAGTGCCGTCATATGTGGATGAAACTGATTGATTTAGTCCTTTAATTGAAAAAAACTTCAAGTTTATATAATTATTGAAGCAATTAGAGGGCAATGAAAGGCCAGATATATGAATGATGGGGTGGATTGATCAGGTGAAAAGTGAAAGAAGGAGACCTTTTTGATTCAAAACCAAAGAATAGAGTCGATGATGTAGTCTCAATCTCCAGTTACGTTTAGACTTAATGTTTTATTAATATAGTAATGGGCTGTTTTATGTTATGTAACCAACCACAGTTAAAGGTTAAGAGGGTGGTTTAAAATAAGTAAATAATATGATTGGTGTAAAGTCATCGTCCTATCTTGAGAATTGAATTGGAATTTGATGTAACATGTAAGCATCTAAAACACATCATCTTTACCAACGGCAGCGGATACACCATAATAATTCACATTTCACACTACTTCCTACAGTCTATACGCTCCTTTTTATGCCGTGGACTTCACTCACTCTAACTTTATCTTACATACATGCGTCTTCTTCAATTCAGACAAATTTTCTTATAAGTATTTTGTGCATTATTCCCGTGATGCCAAAAAACGCTTACTTTTTAAAACTAAGGATTTATAGAAATTAAATAATTATTATTATTATATTGATTAATAAGGTTACAATTAATAAGATTATTGATTTGTCTTCTATTAATAAATGTTGTATGTTAATGTTACACATATAAGCATAATTTACAAAACATTCAAAATTAAATCAAATTGATGTGACTTTATATAGGAACCGAATGCTATCAAAATTTATATCAAGGATAAGGTGAGAAAAGTGTCATGGGTCCTTCTTGTTCCGAAGTAGGAGGAACGGAAAGCCTTAAACCGGAGCGTTGTGGTGACGCGCAGCCGATAGCCGAGATAGTGTGAAACTAACAAAGGAATATTCTTCTATCTAGTGTAGGCCTACCAAAGAAGAAACAGAGGTGACATCATGTAAAGGACTGCCTTGCGGTGCAGGAGCAAAAGTCATTGAGTTACAGTAACATTAGCAGTACCTTACCTATGCCAAAACACATGGATAGAAATTAATTAACATTAATCACTGTTAATCTCCTTATAAAAAACTATTAAATTAATGATTGTATTATAATAATATTTCTCACATTTTGTGTTTTCACTCCATCATCCATCATACTATTATTTATCGTTGTCTCCTTGTAAACACCGAAACCCACCTTCTCATTTTCATTCATCTACTCACTTTTTTTTTTTCTTTTCTTAATCATCTTCACTATGTCTTCAATATTGAGTTCTCAAGGAGTAGTTTTAGCCACCGCCATGGCTGCTGTTTCCGGTACTGTAATTCTTCTGGCTTTTCGCCTTCAGAAATCGTCCCCAACAACCCAATTTTCCATTGATCGGATTCCTCATGACTCCCCACAAGTACAAGTTCTACGATCTTGTATTTCTTCTGGTAAATTACGCCTACACCCATATACATATATGCATACGTAAATCCAGAATTGTTTTTTTAGTCAATTCATATGTTCATGTTTATAACTTTATGTTGTTGATCTTTTTCTATATTTATATATATATATAGAGGGGAAAAAGAGAGAAAAGAAGAAGAAGAAGAGGGTGCACTTTGCAGAAGATGTTGTGGATCCAAGAGGGAATGGAAAAGAGTTCAGGAAGCAACATAGTGTTATAAGAAAAGTTTCTTTGTCTTCGTCTTCGTCTTCGTCTCCATCAGAGTTCAAGAGGAGTGGAGGAATGCCTGCAAATAGGGTGGCTCTGTACAATGGAATACTGAGAGATCGTCGTTGTGTTCAACGATTGGGTTGCTCCTATTGATTGATCAAATTCATGTAGACTATTTGTATAATTCTTCAGTTAGTCAAGGCCTTTCTCTAATTGTAGCCCATTTTTGTAAATATATCTTTGGAATTGGAGAAGGTGATGGACCCACAAGCTGGGTGTTATTTGCAGAAATTACCGAGTGGATCCACCCTCTCGAACTAGGAACTTGTCAGTATAATCTTCTTAGATTTTTTTTCTTTTTCTTTTTAGGGGCTCGTAAACTAAAATTGAAAGAATATTTTCTTCATTTTAGTTTTTACCACTTTGGCCATGTTGTATACCAATCAATTTCATGGTTAGCACTTAGAAAAGAAGTGTAGAGGCTAATTAGAGTTAACGACTTTTTCTCATCCAAATTATGGCTTAATGACATTTTGTCACATACAGCCTTGTAAAATATCATTCACGGACAATAAATTTGATCCAAGCTGTTGGGGTTTTTAAAAAGAGGAGACCGATGAGTCTTTTGATCTTAGAATGTTAGATTTTGATGGTTATAATTGATCAGAATTTGACTTACGAATAACGGTTGCGCAAATCCTAATTGCTCGATTGTCGACAATTAACAAGGTTGGCAGGAGTAAGGTTTGAAGGGTTTCAGTGAGTGATGATTAGAGAAGAAAATGGTGGTGATGTAGGATCGTAACGATGTCGAAATTAAAAACGAAATGTAAATTTGGGTTGTAAAGTGATATTTTAAAAGTTAGTGGATAAAAAAGTGTTATTAAACCATTATTTGGATAGAAAAAAGTCATTTACTCGGCTAATTCGTAATAATGGAATGTAAATATGTGATACAAAACTTTTAGTTAGTTTATAGGTGAAGGGACAGTCTTATTAATGAAATATGTGATATAATAAAGTAGTTAGTAATTATGTGGTTGGTATGAAGAATTGGAGCGTTTGGAGGGTGAAGGAATGTGCATGTGTTGTTTTATGCTTTGTATAAGAACTGCCTCATCACATGTATATGTATGAATCCATCCTTTCAATGTGTGAACACAGGCAGGTGATAGGATGCTTCCTTATCCAATTCAAATATTATTACAATTAATAAACTAAACAACTCGTGTTTTCTTTCTTCATTTGTTTAATTCGCTGGGGAAGGGTCTTAAATTATTGAGTCAACCAATAGAATTAAGTTGATATTTAATTAAAATGACGTGGGATTTGAACAGTAGACAAGTATTTGAGGTGGAAGCACAGGGAGGATGGGCAACAGAGGAATTGCACTAATGTTGGAACAGAATGTGTTTTTTTATCACAAATTGAATTTCCTTGTCTTTTGAGTTGCTTTTGTGGCCTCATTGTGTGTCCCATATTGCTTCCCTTTTGTTTTTAATTCAAATTTTATATTCATAAAGTTCCAGAAGCAACCTACCCTTCCTCAGCCATTTCGACAAACCCAAACTTCAAACCAACTTCCTCCAGCACCTTCTAAAGTGTAGTCCTTTTAAATTATTATTATTATGTTAGTTTTTCTCTTTTAGAACAATTCAACCAACGACCTATATACTTACAAACTATATTCTATTTTTTTTTTTTTTATTAAATTAATAAATAGGATAAAAGGTCGTGACGGCACGATTCACGCTTTCACAAAGAAAAAATTTAGGATAATATTATCATCAAATGAAATTAAAATTTATGATGAGAATTTAGAAAAAGATCCTTGAAATTGATTATATTGTGTCATAAGTACAACACACTTGATGACATGTTTCTATCATTCTTTTACATTTTCTTTTTCCACTTATTTTGTTCATAAAACTCTGATGGTTTATTGACTATGTATTAAAAATAATTACTGTAGTTAGCTTGATTCCCTAGTAACGGATTGAGTGTGAGCATAATCCCATCATTGGTGACATAATCCTCCATTGTTAATTCGATTAAGCACCTTGATTAGGGGGCCGATTAATTAAAAAAAAAACCCAATTTGTAGAAGCCACGGTGGACGTGAAACACGACACCACATTCACCCATTAAAAATTGCTTTAAATTGAATCAAGAATCACCACATCAATCAAAAAAGTTACATGACACATGCAACACAAACCAAAAATCTCATGGTTAGATGCTTCCCTGACCTCACCAAACTTTATATTATATATTTTATCCTAAAGTATATAATATAAAGGAGTTAACTTTCAAAGAAGCATACGGTGGGCTCTTTTATAAGTGGCCATTTAGTCAAAAAAATAGCCAATCTTTTGCTTATATTTTTACAGGAAAAAGTTCTAAGTCACCCAATAATGCACCATCTTACCTCATTCTTGTTGTCATTATGCCTGTATTATTGCCGAGAAAGCTATCTTATTTTTAAAGAAGCAATTAAATGACGACATCTGATATTAGTTTTTGATGATACTTCATAAACAAATAACTAATCATTATTATTATAACCCGGTTAAGTGTGACATCCTTTAATTTGGAATTGTGGTGGGTAGAGTAAAGGCATGGTATGACTCTCAACTTGGGTAATGTTGAATTTTCTTGGCCAATTAAATGGCAAATGTGGGCGGTTTAAGATAAGGATCAACCGAGTTGAGTTAATTAATTATTTTAGGCAAGTGGTGGTGACGAGGTCGGTTCGATTGATGTGCCATCTTCAAATGTTGGAACATTTCTAACATTACTTATTTAATACAACATGTAAACATCTAGAATTTCAAATTGTACCCAGTCAATTAAAATCTGAAAGGGTATTTTAAATCAATAATTCTAATCCAACAACAAAAATCCAATGGGTTTTTAAGGAATCATTATATTTTAGATATCACTATAATGCCCTCTATGTTTAATAATCTAGCCTCTTTTTGAGAGCCTCTGCCATTGATATTCAAATTTGAGAGGTCTATCTTATCTACAAATCCTCTGGAGTTACACCAGACTTGGTGCAGTTACAATGCAAAAACTAGCTTTTGACATTTTCCTGTCCTCTACAATTGTAGGCTTTCAATGAATCACAAGAAATTCTGTTTGTGGACGTTGAATTGTTTATTTGTAGATTTTGACTAAAATTATGAATCCATCAAATTAAAAACTACAGCTAGAAAACCACTTGGTTATGATAGAACCGGATGACAAGAACTTAGAGTTACCTAAATATATTGTGTTTTTATGACTTATCTAGTTCACTGAACTTAGACTTAAAGAATGTTTAATATACTCTTTACTTGGTCCATTAGGCTTGGGCTTGAAGGGTGTTCGAACGCCAGAACTTAGTTAAAGTGTGTGCAAGCTACCTAGTTTAAAAAAAAAAAAAACTACTTGTAGAAGGATTCCTAAAAATTTGTACAAAATTTTTTAACCATTACGAAAATTAAAAATTAAAATTTGCGTAACTAAAAACATATATAAATAAAGGATAATTGTACTTATATCATATAATATCTAGAGCTGTGTAAAAAAAACCGTTAACCGAACCGAACACATCAACCAAACCGAACCGAATCATAATTTTCGGGTACCCGAAAATTTGGGTCGGTTTCGGGCGATACCCGAATTTTCGGTTCAGGTATCAATTATTTATTTTAAGATAACCGATAACCGGTTTTATTAAAAAATAAAAAAAAACACAGTTTTTAAATTTTTTGTTTACTTTCAATTTTCAAAGGGCAAAAGCCCCAAATACCTTATGCCCTAAAATTTTAGCCCGTCAACATCACTGCGTCAGGTCCCACACTCATCTCTCTAACTCTCAAATTCTCCAGTCTCCACTCTCCACTAAAGTCTAAAAATTCTCCACTAGTCCACTAAAATTTTCTTCTTCAGACTGCAAATTATAGAAAGCAGAAACACTCCAACTGCTTCTAAATTGATCTCAACATTGGGCTTCACTTTGCTCCAGCTCCATCACCTTTCTGCACTGTCGTCGCTGTCGCCGACGCCATTGGCTTGATTTTCAGTCTCCAGCTCTGAGGTAAATATTTTCAATCATTTTATTTTTATGTCATCTTCACTTGGAGACAATGGGTCTGTTAGTGAACTAGGGGTTAAATTGGGCCCTTATAAGACTGAAGTGGTTGAGTTAGTGTGGCTATGCTGATAAATTTTGTGACTGAAGTTGGTTGAGGAATAGTTAGGTCAACAATATTATCAAAAGGCATTAGTGGCCATGAATTTTCAAATTGATACCTCAAGGTATATTTTGTCTGGTCACATGCTTCATTCGCGTTGAGGAATAGTTTATTGTTGAATACTGGCTTCAATTGGAAGGAATTGTATCTTGTAAAAAATTAAAATTCATGATGAATTTTAATCAAATTCGGGTAAAATATGGATACTCGATTTGTGACCCAAATATTCGGGTACCCGCAAAACCGGGTATTCTAAAAACCGGTTCGGTTTGCAGGTACCTTTTTAGAGTACCCGAATATTCGGGTATCCGATTTTTGTTCAAAATTGGATCAGATACCCGGTTTTGCACAGCCCTAATAATATCCTTTATAGTAATTTTGTTTAAGGTTAAACTTGTCAAGGTTAAAAAATAAAAAATGAGGTTAAAAAATCACAACTCCTATTTTTATATCAATCTTTCTCTTCCAAGTAATTGTATAGATTGAGCTCAGGAGACTTGGGCCGAAAGATTGCCAATGGTTGGCCCATGCCCATCTCAAAATCCAACCCTAAACACCACCAATTTACGGGCAAACAATAAGCTAAATTTTGCAGAAAACAGAATCCCAGAACCGACTCCTCACCAGCCAGACCAGGTACTGTATTATGATTGCATGCAAATTTTTTTTATCAATTCGATTCAACATTTTACATGAAATATTTAATAGTTTCCTTTAAGACGATAGGGTATCCAATTTCTTTTAATATTTAAGGAATAATACTGATATGTTCACTTTTGCAGTTCTAAACAGCGTTTATTGTGTGATTTTGTGCCTCTTTCGAGCTTTTAACTACTTCATATGATGCGATATCAAAGCAAACTGCTGTAGGGCTAGAGAGCAACATATATGTTAGCGTCTTATTATTATTATTTATTTATTTATTTTCCAAAATTGTTTTCATATTTTGTGATGAATTTAAAGAATAATTTATACTTGTCATGATTTAACTCCAATTTATGTACTGCAAAACTAAGCTCGAGTTTGGGTATGAGATGAGGTAAATGGCTTTGGATTTGATTATATACAAGTATTGCTTTAGGACATGTGGGCACGACTAATTGTCAAAGGAAGTTTTTAAATCGGAATGGATCCTCATCTGGAACTTTCAAATCCATGTGGGCACAATAATTAGGGATAGCAGTTTATGGCTGACTATTACTTGCATTGAAGCATTATGCACTTTTAAATATATGGATATATAGTGTAATGCTCCATTTTTATTTTCAGTAACCATGAAGGTGCGATCATCAGTAAAGAAGATGTGTGAGTTTTGTAAGACAGTTAAGCGTCGTGGACGTTTATATGTAATTTGCTCTTCTAATCCTAAGCACAAGCAACGACAGGGAATGTCAACATTTGCAAATGAAGGACCAATCCCATCCACGTATGTTATCTTAACTTAAGCATTCTCTCTCTGTTTGCTACCTTCAATGTATTTTTGTTTAACTTTTTTATTCTTGTCATTGTTTGTTATACTAGTAATTTATGCACCTGTAGTCTCTCATTTTACTTTTTAAATTAAGTAAAGTTCTTTCCATCTTGAAGGATGATAACTGGTTAGTTTGAATTATTCTTTGGTTCATTATATTGATCAAAGGAGCAAGAATTGTTTGAGCAAGGATTTGAATGAAACAAGGTTACAATAAAATTATTTTATTAGGTATGGCATAGTAGAATCTAGTATTAAGTGAGTTTGTGGTGCTTGCCCCTTTTAGTATGTCTTGTAAAAAAGAAAGGCCTCCACGTTCATGGAAATCAAAAAAGTTTGAAGTGCTCTGGTTCTTCACCACTATATTTCCATACTGTGGAGAGACACCTGGTTTTCTTAGGTCCTTCCATACAACTTATCGCTTGCTCAATTTGTCTCATGGCCATTAATTGAGGCTGACGTAGAATGTGTCAACACACAAATATGTGTGTAAGTGTTTTTTTTGCTTTCAGCTTAGCTGAATTGCGTGAAGCTTTTTCTTGTTGAATGACCTTTAGCTGATTCAATGGTTATTGAGTTCACAGACCTGTGTACCTATCATGAGGCTAATGCCTGGTTTATACATGAGTTTAATGCTACAATTTGCACCAAATTTTTGAAGCAGCTCAGATATCATTTTTAAGATTGTTTAGGGTTTCAATAAATTTTCCTTTGGCTATTAGTAATTGCTCTTAATGTCCATTACTCTGACATCCCATGCTGGAATATTCTTGCTGTAGTGTATTTATCATTTATGAATGTGTGCTTGTGACCATGTTCTTAGTTGCACAGTGCAGTTCGTTAAGAAGCTAGAAAAGAAATTGTGCTAGCCTGTAGTAGGCATATTATTGATGCAGACTCTTTCTGGAATATATAACCATAGCCTTTTAATTGACTGCGCCAGTAATTCATTTATTCATTTAAAAAAAAAAAAAAAAAAAAAAAGAAGCTAGTAATATCTGTAATTTTCTTCTTTGTATCTTTTTTCAGGTTCATGGAAACAAATGCTAGCAGGAGATTGCACCCAGTCACAGCTTCCAGCCAGGGCTGGCTGCTCTGATACCCAAAAGACATGAACCATCACTGATATATGGATGGAGGGCCAACCTTGCTCTCTTCTCTTTAAACAGGGAAAATAGCTCAGATCTGAAGTAGAATTATATAAGTTTATATTAAATTGAGTTTTTTTAGGCTTTTGAATATTGTTTTGCTGTTCAGCCTTATTTTGTTGTGTTTTAATTCAGTCTCACTTTTCAAATTCGCTTTATCTTGCCATAATCATAATCACCATGTTATTCTGTGGGAAATTTGTAACAGTAAAATGTTACCTGAAGGAACAAAGTTTGTGAGCTCCATAAAAAAAACGGGTAACATTGATACATTAAGGAATGGTTTCTTTGATCCTATTACAATCAAGTCTGGTTAAAATCTGGCCTGTTTGCATAGTTGAGTATTTACATAAATCGAACCTAATCCTCCAGCGTTACTAATTAATGATCATGCATGCCAAATGGAAACCCCTGCTCTTCAAATCTTGTACATTTACTTAGACTATCTCTAACCAAACACCAAATTGGTGTATTTTTTGTGTATGTCACATTGCGCATTTCAATTAATTATATTAAATATTATACCAAAATATATTTTTTAGAATATACTCTTTCTTTTTCTTTCTATTAATAATCAACAATTAATCATTTTACTAATTATTTTTTATATATTATTAAATATGGAGAATAATATTTTTTTAAATAATAATTACTTTGAAAATTATACTAATTTAATAAAATTAGTATTTATTTAATCAAATAAACATTACATTTAATACAAAAAAAACATTATATCTAATATATAATGCCACAAAAAAAAAAAAAAAAAAAAAAACAACACCACAAAAGTAAAATTTCATATTGATAGTAATTTAATTTTCCGATTAGTATATTCTTTCTACAAATGTCATTAATCATTTCGAAAGACTGGTGAGCACTGTATCTTTGATTTGTTTTTGTCGAGCAAATTTGAAATCAAACATTTTCATCTACAATAATTTCAACTTCGGAGTGTGCCGCTTCTATTTGATTCTCAATTGATGCATCAACATTACGATCATCCTCGATTATCATGTTGTGCATAATAATACTGCAGTCTTATTTATATTGTTTTTTCCTTTAATTTTAGTATTTTTAAATAGTGTTATTTTTATTTTGAGTTATGTAGTTTAATATTTGCATTGAATAAAGTTTTGTTTTTAATTTTTCATCTTTTTTTAAATTATATATTATGAATTATTATTATAAATATTAATATAATAATATCATTAACATAAATTAAATAACAAAAATAAAAAAATATATTTTATATAGATAAATAATACCCACCTAATGAACGGTGTTTAATAAATTTAGTCGTAATACTATTTATTTACACTAATTTAATGTAGTTTTTGGTGTTAGGTTAGAGCAGATTTCTTACACCAAAATAGCGTAGGTTAAAGATGCCCTTATATTAGAAATGGCAATTGTTGTAATCTTTGAAATGTTCAGAAAGAAGAGTCAAATTCAGGGATTTGATTATGGAAGGGGAGTGGTGATGAAGCGAGGGGTGGTGGATAGTTTTAGAGGTATTAATGGTATTTGACACTGACTGATTTGAAATGCAAAACTATGGGATAATGTTTCAGTTACCGGAAGCACATATTTAGAAATGCAAAATTTCAGATATAATTTGAAGATTGAGATACATATAACCATTAAGTTTAAATAAAACATAATTTTAAATCGTTAACTTAAACAGAATTCTATTAAGATGTTGTTTAAAATGAATAAATTGTTGTAAGTCTAGTTGGGCAATAACTAATGAGATATCTAATTACTGTATATTATTAATTATCACCACCAGTTATAATCACTACTAACCCTTTCACTGGTCAAGCTAAGCAAGTGGAAGAAAGTGGGTAAACGGCAGCCAGCCAGCAGCCCAACAATAGCATCAATTAATACTAAAACAGCCCCCTTTTTTAAGATAAACGAATCGGAGCAATCACAATTTCTTCTTCTTTTGTAGGTGGAATCCATAAATGGTGATGATAAAAACTGCTTTTACTGATTGTATGCCCACTTTCTCGCCTGCCTGGGTGAGCAATTCATTTCAAATCTTATTTTGATGCCTGCTTTGCTTTCATTTTAAAGAACTGTACGAAACAACAGTTCTTTTTTTTTTTTTTTTTTTTTTAAATGTGGAGTAGTAAAAGGTCGCCTGACTTCTGGGACGTAGTTGAGTGTATGCAACTGCAAGTTTTACCTTCTTCTTTCTTTAGCTAGTAAGAGCTTAGCTTAATTAACTTCACAGCACCAGTGGCTTTGTTTTTTTCTTATGGGCGATCAAAAATACCAAATTGTATTCAATTTTTTTATTTGAAGATTTCTTGTTAAGAATCTTGCCTGGTGTGAGAAGAAATATCATAAGCTTTTTCTCTGATTAATGCGGACACGTTGGTAGAATATTAGTTATGGACTTTGCAAATTTTCTTTCTCATGTTTCTGGAAGAGAAAATAATTACGGAGATATTCTTTTTTGTTGAGAAGAACAAATTTTAGAAGAAAACTAGGGGGTGATCAAATTCTGTGATTTGTCCTTAAACAAGAAGCTGGATGTTAAATTTGCTGTTAGTTAACCCTTTGAGTCATATAGCATAATTTTTAACTCTTCAAATAAATTAGAGAATTTAGAACTAGGTTAAGGTTGCAGTCTGATAAGCCCTTTTAAAGTAACTCTAACCATTCTCTGGACTCTTAGAGGATTTCTGTGAAACTAAGCATCTCTATGAAATCGTATATAGGTGCCTCCTATCTTCTCATCATTTTCTATCTAATATCAATCCACTATGGTGAGATGGATTTTCCTGCACTCACCCAAGCAGTTTAATCTTAAACTTCGAGAAAATGGTTGTCTCAGCCTCCCTAGCGGAACAAGTGAATTAATAACACAATATGTTTCTAAGTAGCAGTTTCATCTAGGGTCAACCTTATACAATGAAGTTAATACTTTGTTTTTCTTCCAATTTAACACTTAATAGGGAAAGAATATGCAGAACCAAACTTTTAGCATCTCGATTTTACAAGTTAAGCCATCTTCACGACATGATTTATCCTAGATCAGACTTGATTTTCAAAGAGGGAAAAGAGTAGAGGAGTTATATTTTTTTCAGCTTTTCGTGCTAACAAAATAGAACAATAATAGTTCACTGGTTAACTTTAAACTAAGGCTTCCATGAATAGTTTTGGACTTTTTCCGCTTGTTGTTTAAACAATCATACTCTTTTCTGTGACATTGGTTGATATTTTGTCTTGAGTAATTCATGTGCACCTTTACTTCTGTATTGAAGCTCCAATTCATCAACCACGAAAATTTAACAATGTCAATTGTTTATATACTTTCTCTTTTGTACCTCAAACAATATATTGTTTCTTCTGCTGAATATTTTCTGAAACTGCAGCTACGGTGTTCTTTAGAAGTAGTTTTCTCATTTTGATTATATGTTAATCAGTTCTTTTTTGATATTTCTGATGAAGTAGTGGCACTATAGAGTTTAAGGGCCTATTCTTTCTTTATTTCTCAGAGGAAATAAATATGAAAAGCAAAGATGTTGATAACCATCGCATGTTCTTTTCTTTGAAATGTTAACTCTTTAATCCGGTCTCACTCAATTCTTTTTGAACTTGCTGTGACTGTGTTTTGTATATGCATATATGGTTTAACCTGGCTTGCAACAGTGCAGTGGTTGCTTTGGGTGCTGCAGTAAGTCCACACCAATAATTGCTGTGGATGAGCCATCAAAGGGATTGAAAATTCAAGGGCGGACTGTGAAGAAACCTACCATATCAGATGATTTTTGGAGCTCGAGCACATGTGATTTGGAAAACAGTGCTGTTCAATCCCAGAGAAGCATTTCATCTATCAGCATATCAAATCAGACCCTCAATCACTGTGGTGGAAATAATGGCACGAGCAGCCATTCTGAATTTGTTAATCATGGCAAGTTTCAATAATATTTCAATTTTAGTTTTCTGATCAGTTTCTGGTAAATATGTTGAATTGTTGCTGGAGAAAACTTTTATGAATATTGTGTGCATAAGAGGTGTTGTTCATCAGTTGACTAGGTTTAAGTGGTCACTTAGTTTACAGCAGTTTGATGTCAATTATGGTCACAAAAATGTAATTAACTGTGGTCTTGATCATGGCATTTCCTTTTCCATTTGTTAGATCAAATCATTTGATGTTGATAACATTGTTAATTGCAGGTCTTCTTCTCTGGAATCAAGTAAGACTTGAGTGGATTGGAAGTAGCAAGTCAAAGAATCAAACTCAACATAGTTGGGAACCTAAATCAAGGTCTTTAACTACCCTTATTACAGTTCAGTCGTAGGTGTTAATTCGAAAGCTTCCACTTCCATTCAATAAAATGTCATTGCCTACTGATTTTCTTGAAAACAATTTTTATTTCCTGTTCTGAATTAGTGAGTCCTCATTGATATTGCTTTTCTGACAAACATATTGTTGGTGACCAGTAGCAAATAGGAGCACTTTTCAAATGATCACATCTAGCAATGAGTATAATTTAGTAAATAAACATGTTGGCAGAAAAAAAGATAATGTACGTTTTGATAATTGAATGTCTTCACTTCAGAGTACCCAATATCCTTGTGCTTCAATTTTCATTTTACTTTCTTGCATATTTTACTTTTTGTATATGCAGCTGGCCTGCTACATATGAAAGTTTACTTGGATCCAGAAATCCTTTTCCTAGGCCCATCCCTCTCAATGTAAGTTTTCTGTGCAATGTGTTGTTTTTTCGTTAAATCATTTTATTATTTTATTTTTCTTGTGGCTGGGTTACACAGAAGGAGGGTGATCCACCCCCTCCCCAATAGACTTCTACCCTCAGGTGAAACTCGATATCTCCCCCCTGAGAAAGGGAGATAGATACATCAAACCGCTTAGCCACAAGGAGCCAGTAATCAGATTTGTTATTGCATATTACAAAAACTGCATACTTTTATCTATTTATTTATTTTTCTTTCAATTTGTAATTGGATTTTTAACTGCAGGAAATGGTTGATTTTCTGGTGGATGTATGGGAGCATGAAGGATTGTATGATTGAGTAATTGAAATGCAAAAATGGTTTAGTTTATCATAAGTGTAGATCCCCTACGTCTGTGTCTGTTTTTAAGAGGATTCT